TTCTTCATGAAACCTTCACTTAAACACCATTGTTAAGTGAGAGTTGGTCTTGTAAGGTTGTTGGGTGCTCCATTGTTGAGTTTGAGCTTCTGAGTTTGAGGAGAGTGGGCTGACCTTGTGAGTTTGGGTTGTGGGACCCTTGTAGTTGGCTTTTTGAGCTTCAAGGTGTGAACTTTGTGGAGAAAAAACCAACCTTGGTGTGTCATTTTCGTTTTGGGACCAAGTCAGAACTGTGGAGTCAGTTTAGTGAGCTCCAAGAGCATTCTTTCCACTATTTTGAGTTGTTGGTAAGCTTCACCACTCTTGTGCTTGAGTTTAATGCTTAAAAATGAAACCTTGATGCATGTAATGAGCTAAGTTGACAACTTAAGGGTGGTTAAGGTTAAACACATCTAGAAATGCATGTTTAGGCTTATGTAATCGGTAAAAGTTGGACCTTTGGTTTGGATTTTTGCGAAATGCAGAATATGGGTTCTGTCGCGAAATATCCGGATATTTTGTTGTGAATATCCGGATATTGATATCCGGATATGGGGATCTGAATATCCGGATATCGATATCTGGATATTGGAAGAAAGATATACAGATATTGATATCCGGATATGCCCCCGACAAATATCCGGATATTTTAGGATTTCGAAGAACAGTAGCTGCACTTTTCATACAATAGGCTATTGGGGGTTTGTGGACCCTAGATTGATGAAGTTGAACTTCTGTTTTAATTGAACTAAGTCAAAATCAAGTGGTTAAGGGCTTATGGCTTTGTGTGAAGCCTTAAGACATAAATCGTAAGAGGAAAACGTAGTCTTTATGTTTATGCTTTGGAGCTATGAATGTTGATATGCTTGCTGGTCCGAAATCAGATTGTGATTTGCTGTGTTCGGACATTGAGCTTGTGTGGACTTGACTTGGATTGATTGCTTAAGAGGTAAGCTTTCGTGTCCTCGGTTTAGCCATGTTGTGGTTCCACCATGTCCCATGGGGGTATGGTTATATGCATGCTGTGTTACATGCTTTGGATATTTGAAATACTGTTGAGCTTTATGTGTAATGGCTTTTAATATGCATGTGTTGTTCCATCTTGACGGTAAGCCTGAGTATGTGGCGTCATACAAGACGGTGATCCGGGGTGGATGCAAGTGGTGTCTTTCACTATGTGTGGGTATTTGGCGTATATAAATCCTGTATTTCTCTGGCCAGTGGAATAATATTGACACACATGACATGATTATCTGCTGCATTGCACTATTTTAGAACTGATGATGATAAATTGCTTTTGAACTTATATTGCACATGTAAGTGAGCTTGGGGTGGAAGATCCTTGAGGACCCCTTGTCTTACTGAGATTTCTTGTTTAGAGATCTCACCCCACGTTTGGGGAATGCTTATTTCAGGTTCAAGTAGTATGAGGACTGATGCCTCTGGCGGCAGGAGGCCAGAGCTTAGTTGATGTTTAATGTTGTTCATATTATGCTGGCATGACTGGATTGGATGCTGTTTATGTTTTCTGCACTTATATGCTTATGTTGCTGATGTTGAGACTGATGTTGGGCTTTGTTGCCTTATTTGGGTGAGCATGGGGTTTGTCCATGCCACTTTGTGGTTAGTTCTTTTAGTTGGAGTTGTATAAACTGTTAGATGGTCCGGTCTACGTTTTGTAATTCCGTGACTAGAGACTCATACTTATGTTATTTAATTAATGAGGTGTTTCAGTTAGCTGTTTATTGCAATATACATACAGGCAATGTTTTGAAAGTGGTTAAGTAATCAAGTTGGTAATGATTAATGACATCATAATTGAAAAGAAAAAGATATTCCGCAATTTTAACTAAGCGTAGCTTAATACGATGATATGATAACATTACCGGATATATACGGGGTGTTACAAACGACAACCCCGTTTTTTCACTATATTATTTGTACGACCGATATACTTGCCGTTATTTCAAGATATGATGTTTGCTGGTATTAAAATATAGACACTTGGATAACGTAAAACCCTTACCTTCAGGGGGCATTTGGTAGAGGAGAAATCTTTTTTTATCCGGGAATCTCGATTTTTTAGAAATATGATTTTTACATTCAGTTTATGAAAATATCTACAAATTTAAAATTTAGAAAAATTCAGTTTACCGAGAATCCAAAAGAATACCGCTTACCAAACGGACCCTGAAGTAATCTTCACTGGTAATTTAGCTATAGGATCGAAGACCTCATTATTCGGATCAGTCTCAATAGAAAATCTGGTATTTTAACATAAGCACACCCTCCATTGCATCTGAACATTCCATGAATGAGAACAGATTCATATCGAACAAAATCATAATCAATAATATACTTCATGATATTATATGTGTAATAATAGCAACCTCCAATATAACTGAAAGAAGTGTAAATTCAACCTCACATACTAACTTGTGGCAAAGTCGCAGATAATAACACACATCAACTAAGATATTCAATAAATTATAAATGATGCTCAAAAAGGACCGCCTCATATTTCAACCATCTCATTGCTAGACCTCAAATGCTTATTGTATTTCTATAGACTGTCCATTTTAAAACAATACCTTTCTTTTCATTAGCATACACATACATCAATTTTTTTCAAACCACAATAATATATGCTACAACGAGAAAATATGAACAAAAGTAGTAGTATTGTAGAAATTCTACAGCGAAACAGCATATACCCAGCGAATATCAATTTATGGGCAAAAAAAATTAGTTAATATTTTTTAATAAATTAATTACGTATTTTTACAGTTTTGGAAATAATTACATATTTATTGTACAATATAACGCCCAATTTGATAATCACGCCTAATCTAAGCATCACTCATCAGGTGTTGACACGCGTCATATTGTTTTTTCAAAAAAATAATAATTTAATCATAAAACTTCTGAAGGCCATAACTTTTGACTCGGGTATCCAAATCAGGTAATTTTATTTTTGATTCCACATAACTTTGCGAGATCTACGCAATGACATCTCATTTAACATATTTTATTTCTCACAAACACAATTTAAATTTGCAAGAATGGTATTATAAGAGCGGGTTAAACGCAGAAGCCTCTGAGTTCTGGATTTGTTATTTAATATAAAAAAACAAATGAAAATTTGATTTGTGATTTAAATTTTTTTATAATAATTTTTTTTATTATAAAAAAAATTTGGTTTGTGATTTAAATTAAAATAAAAATAAAAATTATTATTAATAAGAAAAAAAAATAAAGATTTGATTTGTGATTTAAACTAAAAAATCAATTTGAAAAATCTGTAGAAATAAAGAAAATAATTAAATAAATATTATAAATCTTTAAGTAAGAAGGATATTATTTTTGAAATTAATGATTAATGCTATAAGCTTCTGGGTTATTATTTGTGGTCTGAAATTAATTATGGCTTAGGAATGTTTTTCAAAAATAAAATTACTTAAATTAAGCGTGATTGCCTCTTGATTTAAACCCAATTTAGACGTCAAGATTTGATGTGTGATTTAAATTAAAAAATGAAAATTATTATTAATAAGAAAAACAAAATAAAGATTTGATTTGTGATTTAAACTCAAAAATCAATTTGAAAAATCTGTATTAATAAAGGATATAATTAAATAAATATTCTAAGTCTCTAAGGAAGAAGGATTACCTGATTTAAATTTAAATTATGTTTGTGAAAAATAAAATATATCAAATGAGATGTCATTGCGTAGATCTCGAAAAATTATGTGGATTAAAAAAAAATTACCTAATTTGGATACCCGAGTCAAAAGTTATGGCCGTTTAGAAGTTTTATGATTAAATTATTATCTTTTTGGAAAAAAATGACACGTGTGAACACCTTATGAGTGACGTCTAAATTAGGTGTGATTGCCTCTTGATTGACGCTCAATTTAGGCGTGATTGATGATGTCTAAATTTGGCATGATATTGTGCAATAAATATATAATTATTTACAAAACAGCTATAAATTCGTAATTTTTATTTAAAAAATAATAAATTAATTTTTTACCCTCAATTTATGATATATTATAGAAACTAGCGAACTTCTCATGTTTAATACATGACTTTTTTTTTAATTGAGGAAAGCATATAAAAAAAGATGACTAAAATAAAAAAGTTCATATTGAACCAGTTCGAATGAAAATTTAAATTTTTTTTGTAAAAAAAAGAAAAAGAAAATGTCATTCTTTAAAAAGAAAAAAAAAAATTATATAAACTGCACCATCGTATGAACGCAACATTCATCTTTTTTCTCCATTCCCTATTAGACGTCCTTTCATAATTTTCGTGAGCTTTTGTCATAACCGTTGAAATTTTTTAAAGAAGAAATTAAATGACAGCTTTGTTTTTCAATAAAAAAAATTATTACATAAAGGCATGATACTTTGACGTCGGTAATTTGACACCAAATTTTAACTGTTAATTTCTGCTAACTAACGATTGTAATTTATTAAAAATTATTAAATGATTAAAAATTTTGATCCACTAAATTATAATTATTAATTAATAGAAATTAACGGTTACAATTTAATGTCAACCTTAAATATTTGATACCTATCTATTTTTTTTTTGGAGTTACCCAACCCTAATTATCTCTTTGAGACGAGTTGGCTCCCTCCGGTATCCTCACGAGCTTCGACTCTTTGAGTCGGCTATGGGACTAATTCGGAGTGCGGGGGAACAGTGATGGCTAAAGGTTCAGCCCCCTCTCCAAGAATGCATTCAGCGGGAATCGAACACATATCTAATCCCACTAACTCAGCGCCAAATTACCAACTGAGAAAACATGAATGTTTTTTTTTTTCCGAAGAAGTGTTTCCATTTAAGGTAATAATAAAAGGAGCAAATTACTGAAACAATAATTCTAATAAAAAATAAACATGAAGCCCATTGGGCCTATTATAAGTTTTACACCAATCACTGGGAGCCGTCCGATTCATCAAAACCCTAGTTTAAGCTCCGTTTCACCAGTGTATAAATTGCACATTCATCTGTTTTTTCTCCGGTGCGAATTTGATTTCTTTCCCTTCATTCACCTTTCAGAAAGAGGTTAAAGAGACGGCACCGTTTGCTGTCCGCCTTGACTGAGCCACTGGTTCGTCTTGGCCCTCGATTTTGCTCTCTGAATTTTGTAGACTCAGACTCAGACATCATCAATGGCGGTCAAACCTACCAAGGCCGAGAAGAAGGTCACGTACGATGCGAAGCTGTGCAAGCTCTTGGACGAGTATTCTCAGATCCTTGTGGTGAACGCCGACAACGTCGGATCCAACCAGCTGCAGGACATCCGCAAGGGCCTCCGTGGCGACACGGTGGTGCTCATGGGAAAGAACACCATGATGAAGCGCTCCGTTAGGATTCATGCTGAGAACTCAGGCAACAATGCCTATCTCAACCTTATCCCTCTTCTTGTCGTGGGTTCTCTCTCCTCTCTTACCTCAATTTAAAAGCTTTCACCATTTTATTGATTTATGTCTCTTGAATGAATAATGGGTAGTCAGTCATGCGAGGTAAAGCTTCGGTCTTTTGTTATGCTTCGCTGCCTTTTTAAAAGAAAAATGAATTAACGCCTTAATTAATTGACTTAGATCAGCTCCTCTCTTTTTTTTCTCCAGCTTTATAGATAGTTTTAACAAAAAAAACTATCAGCACCAACAGCACTTTCAACACAGGCTAATTATGGTCGATGGTTAATTAACTCAATAATAAACAAGAGAAAATTTAAAAATAAAATAAATATTTTTTTTTTTCAAGGTGGTGTCTAATGTTTTTTTTTTTTTTTTGAACCAGGGCAATGTGGGGTTGATTTTCACAAAAGGTGACTTGAAGGAGATTAGCGAAGACCTTGCTAAGTACAAGGTGAAATCACCTTTCCACATTTTTTTTTAATATTCGTACTGTTTTTTTCTGGAAACCATATATAATGCTAATGTTGCTATGTAACTCTTCTGTCTGCTGCCTTTAGTTGTGGTACTTGAATTTTGTCCATGACTGGCAAGTAGCCAGTATTATCTTAATTCTCTTAAGCATGGACAGTTGATTATTGCTATTATTATTTTAAGCTCGGATTTACCTTTTATATGATTGCAAGGTGCTGTCCATAGATTCAATTCCTGTATGTTTTGTTTATACGTTATGACTTGCTACAGAAATATTGTTAGTCCTTGTCATTTTCGTGTCTTCATGGTTGTGGATGTTGTTCAGTACTTCTGGTGGGCTTTTGGCACTACATTAGTTAATTATACTTTACTATTATGCAATAATTTGCTTTTACCCCCAAATGAGATGTTTTGGTTAGAGTATTTTGTTTTTGCGGGCTGAATTTGATATTATCATTGATTGTAAATATCCTCCTTCTGCATTCTGTTTAAAATTTTCTGTTTATTGCTTGAAAAATTCAGTACTGAGCTGGCACGTGCTCACTTTTCTTGTTATTTAAATGTTCATCGAGTAATTATTGTCTTTAATCTGAACAGGTTGGAGCTCCTGCTCGCGTTGGTTTGGTTGCTCCAATTGATGTTGTTGTTCCTCCTGGCAACACTGGGCTCGATCCCTCTCAGACCTCTTTCTTCCAGGTTTGTAATATTATTCTTGTACAATTTGGATTTTCTTCTTGTGGATGTCATTCATGTTTATACTTATTCTCTACACTTCAGGTGCTCAACATTCCAACCAAGATTAACAAGGGTACTGTGGAAATCATTTGCCCTGTGGAACTCATCAAGAAGGGAGACAAGGTCGGCTCTTCTGAAGCTGCATTGCTTGCCAAGCTAGGCATAAGGCCCTTCTCATATGGTCTTGTGGTGCTTTCGGTTTATGATAATGGTTCAGTGTTTAGCCCTGAGGTTCTTGATCTTAGTGAGGATGACCTCGTTGAAAAGTTTGGTATTGGTGTCTCAATGGTTACTTCACTTTCGTTGGCGATCTCGTACGCCACACTTGCAGCTGCACCGCATATGTTTGTCAATGCATATAAGAACGTTCTTGGTGTAGCAGTTGAGACAGAATATTCTTTCCCTCGGGCAGACAAGGTTAAGGAGCTCTGAAGGTGTTGGATTTAACATTTTGATTTGGTTAAGTTGGCCCTATCTAAAGTTTAAATTATTTTTGGTTAGAGATTTGGGTAAGTTGTATTGGGTTATGTGTTTAATTTTCATTTGTATAAAAAAAGTATCTTTAGTAAAATTTAAAAATATTTAATAAAATTATAATTCTTCTTGGTATTGCCTGCCCAGATGCTTTGTATTCAATTCATTTATTCATCAATAAATTTAAAAAAATAAAAAAATAATGATTATATCTACGGAGCATTGATATACTAATAAATTCAACTACCCACTCTATAATCCAAATTCCAAACCTAGTCAAAGTCAATTCAGTGTACATCTAACTAAAACATCCCAATTTTTCAATTAACTTTCGGTCGGTCGCTGGCACGGGGCCAGCAATTATGTCACGTAGCCACCTGTTGTCTTGTGAAGGATATGTGAAGCTTTCAAGTTTCAACAATGATTTATTGTAAAGTTTATGAAAGTATTTTTTTTCTTCTTGTTTTTGGGTTTTAAGAACAAAACAAGTACCTTCTCAGGATTATGTAAGATGATAACTTTTATATGTTCTTGCATTTCCCCCCTCTTGTCTGTTGCTTGATAGAAAGGTACAAAAAAAAGGTGTTATTTGAACATTTTACATTTGCTTCAACTACTATCTCATTACTATTTGTCTCTTGAACCCCGTGAAGTTGGTGAAGCAGACAAGGCGAAGTACTAAAGTTCATTTGAAAAAGAAATGCACAAGCATTGAAAACCAATGAAGCTAGAAGAAATCAATTGGTCAGTGGGGAGAGAAAAAATGTCCACCTCAACTACCAAAGGCTAAACTAAACTAGTAAATGAAACGAATGGGCCATTTCTTCATGTAAGATAACGATACAATTTCTTGTCAATGTTGTCCCTCACCAAGAAATCCCTCTCAGTGAGAGACTCAATCCGTTTCTTAATCTCTGCTGGGTTAGCAAGGAATCGTGGCTGCAACTGTTTTATGACCTCTGCTATAATATTGTTATGATCAAACTGCCTCCTTGACTTCATCATTCTCACTATTGCAGCTTCAGTCTGGGGTTTCCTGTCCTCTTCCATTTTCTGCCGAGTATCTAATTTCTCAGGTTTAGACTCCTTTTGTGCAATCATTGTCCCTATCTTCATTTGTTAGAAATCATGCTTTAGAAATTGTAATATTTTTAATTATTTAGGAGTCAGTTTTTATTTCTGTTTTAATGAGTTGTTAAGTAGTGAGCAGTTACTTTTCTGCTTTAATGGGTAGTAATGAAGTGAGCAATTTTCTTTTCTATTGATGGGAAGTTATGTAGTCGTGAGCAGTTTCTTTTTATTATTTTTCTTTATAAGTTGTATTGTTATGCATCAATAAACTAGTACTTCAGTTCTCAATTATATTTTTCATCTCCAAAACCAACAATTGGTATCAGAGCCCTTTTCTTACGGGACCACCTGTAGAATGGATTTTGAAACAAGTTTTTCCCAAGCAGCTCTTCCAGTTTTCAATGGGGAAAACTATGATCTTTGGGCCGTCAAAATGAAGGCTTACCTAGAGGCTTTGGATCTTTGGGAAGCTGTAGAAGAGGATTATGAAGTCCTTCCTCTGCCGGACAATCCCACCATGGCTCAGATCAAGAAGCATAAGGAGAAAAAAAACCGAAAAGCAAAGGCAAAATCATGCCTTTTTGCTGGTATCTCAACAACCATCTTTACTAGGGTCATGACTCTCAAATCGGCAAAAACAATTTGGGACTATCTAAAGGCAGAATATGCTGGAGATGAAAGAATTCGAAGCATGCAGGTGCTTAACTTAATGAGGGAATTTGAGATTCAAAGGATGAAAGAGTCTGAAACAATCAAGGAATACTCAGACACATTATTGGGCATTGCCAACAAGATAAAGTCACTGGGCAGTAATTTTGCAGATTCCAGAATTGTTGAGAAAATTCTGGTAACAGTGCCAGAGAGGTACGAAGCATCTATTGCTTCGTTGGAGAACACAAAAGATCTGTCTAAAATTACTTTTGCAGAAGTGCTACATGCTCTCCAAGCCCAAGAGCAGCGAAGATATGCTCTCCAAGCCCAAGAGCAGCGAAGATTGATGAGGGAAGATCATGCTGTTGAAGGTGCTCTTCTAGCCAAGAGCCAACAAACTAATTACAACAAAGGAAAGGGTGAAAAGAAAAGTTACCCACCTTGTCAGCATTGTGGCAAAATGGGTCACCCTCCATTCAGATGTTGGCAGAGACCTGATGCTAAATGCATCAAGTGCAATCAAATGGGGCATGAAGTAGTCATATGCAAGAGTAAAAATCAACACCAAGAGAAAGAAGCTAAGGTTGCTAATCAAAAGGAGGAGGAGGAGGATCAACTCTTTGTGGCAACGTGTTTTGCAAGAAGCGAAGAGAGTGAGTTGGCTGATTGACAGTGGCTGCACAAATCATATGACCAATGACAGGGAGCTTTTCAAAAATTTAAAGCCAACCAATATCACCAAAGTCAGAATAGGCAATGGTGATTATATTTCAGTCAAAGGAAAGGGGACTGTTGCAACAACAAGTTGCTCAGGTACAAAGTTTTGTTGAGTGTTGGCCAATTGATTGAAAAAGGATTCAAAGTGCTTTTCGAAAATAGAGTTTGTCTCATTCACGATGAGAATGGAAAAGAAATCATCAAAGCAAAAATGAGAGGCAAGAGTTTCTCATTTGAACCAATCAAGGAGGAGCAAGCTGCTATTTCCACAGAGTAGAATGTGACTGAGACTTGGCACAAGAGACTAGGCCATTGTCACCTCTCAAATATGTTGTTGATGAAGAAGAGGAGCTGTCAAATGATTTACCAACCTTTGCAAATTGTAATGCCTTTCAATTTGGCAAACAAAACAGAAATCCATTTCCTAAGTCAAGTTGGAGAGCCTCCAATAAGCTGCAGTTGATCCACTCAGATGTTTATTTTCATGAAGATAAGAAGTGGAACTGGACACAAGCACAAGAGGCATGCATGAGTAAGCAGAAATCAAGTCCTCTCATCCAAATAAGCAAAGAGCAATGAGTGGAACATTGGAAAGAAGAGTTAGAAGATGACCCACCAGACCCACCAATTCATGGAACAAGGTTGCTGTCCAATATTTATCACCAATTCGTGGAACAAGGTTGCTGTCCAATATTTATCAAAAATGAAATGTAGCCATTTGTGCACCTGCAAGCAAATTTGAAAAAGAAGATTGGTGTTTGCAGCTCCAAAAGCAAGGAGGAGTGTTAGAAATCATGCTTTAGAAACTGCAATATTTTTAATTATTTAGGAGTCAGTTTTTATTTCTGTTTTAATGAGTTGTTAAGTAGTGAGCAGTTACTTTTCTGCTTTAATGGGTAGTTATGAAGTGAGCAGTTTTCTTTTCTATTAATGAGAAGTTATATAGTCGTGAGCAGTTTCTTTTATTATTTTTCTTTATAAGTTGTATTGTTATGCATCAATAAACTAGTACTTCATTTCTCAATTATATTTTTCATCTCCAAAACCAACATCATTTTATAGAACTTGCTGGTGAACTTGTCATTGACAGAGAATGAATCATCCTCCCAATGTCTTTACTCATAGGCTCTTTCCTGATTACATCTTTGCCCTTCACAACATTGCAAGCACCTCTTCAAATCCAAAGCAGAAATTTCAGTTGCTTGCTCAATCTCCTTGTAGCTTAGTTGATCAGCATTGTTAAACAACATTAGGACACACATCTGATAGGTGGAGGCATTTAACTCATGCTTTTTTATAACGCTCGGTCGCTTGCAAGATTAATGACTTTTCAACTTGCTTTGTCCTCACTCATACACTTTTCATAAAAAACTTCCCAGGAGGTCATTTGAAGAGGTGTGGGAAATTGGATTTAACATTTTGATGATCTCACACTAAAATTTTTTATTGATCCATTATTTCTATCTTTCTTATATACGAATTATTTTAAATGCAGGACCCAAGTAAATTTGCTGTAGCTGCTTTTGCCGCAACTGCTGCAAATTCTGGTGCTTCCCAAGCTGCTGCTGCCGAGGAAGAGGAAAAGAAAGAAGAGCCAGTCGAAGAATCCGACAATGACATGGGTTTCAGTTTGTTTGACTAATTTTATGTCTGGTTGTCTTGGAGTTTGGTTTAAGTGTAATTTGATTTTGATTTGTTAGATTTGATGACCTCATTCTTGGTGTTATTTTAAGTTTGCTGTTCTTTTCATATTGCATTCTAAAATCATGTAACCAAAAAAAAAAATTATTGGGAAGGTAGGAAAGCATTCAAAATACTAAAGAGTTTTCATATTTGCTCTCCATATTCTTGGAACAAAGAAGTCCCACATCTGATAGTAATCAAACTAGTGTTGCTAATGTTGTTAAGATTATGCCACGTGGACTGGCAAAACAGAATTAGGTTCTTGTTAGACTTTCCCGCGCTTTTATCTTACTTCTTTCTGATGTAAAACAGCACTTGTATAAATACTTGGAAGAGAAATGAAAACAATAGATTGGTTTTTTTTCCCAAAATGAATGTTAGTTTCATCAAGTTTGAGATGGTATCAGAGCTCTAAATTGGGGCTCTGGTATCGCAGTGAGAGAAACGCGTGATTTTTCGTTTTGTTGTCTTCTATAATGGCAGAAGGTGAATCCACCGATGCTTCCGCTACAGTGACACAACCACCACCGGTGCCTCCACATCATGTGGTGCTTCCGGCGGTGCCTGATTTCTATACAAATCCTTCTCATCCGTTTTTTTTACATCCAAATGAATCACCATCCACAATCTTAGTTCCTCAGTTACTCAATGGAAACAATTATCATACGTGGTTTAGAGCCATGACAGTTGTGCTCATTTCGAAGAACAAGATAGGCTTTATTGATGGTAGCATGGATCCACCATTGGAAGATGATCCTTCTTATTTCGCTTGGCAGAGGTGTAATAATATGGTAAATGCATATGGCTTCACCGTTCAATTTCACAATCAATTGTCCAATCGATCATATGGATCGAAAAAGCCCGAGATGTCTGGGTTGATTTATGTAACAGATTCTCTCGTTCTGACATATTTCGGATTTCTGATCTTCAAGAGGAGATCTATCGTTTGAAGCAAGGAGATAAAAATGTCACAGAGTATTTTACTGAACTTAAAACTCTGTTTGATACATTAGATAATTTGAAGCCATTACCAATTTGTAGTTGCTCGACCAAGTGTTCATGTGGTGGATATTTGAAAATGAAGGATTATCGTGATCGAGATTATATCATAAGGTTCCTCAAGGGATTAAATGAGCAATATTCACAAGTCAGATCCCAAATAATGTTGCTTAAGCCTCTTCCTGATGTTTCTCAGGCTTTTTCCATGGTAACTCAACAGGAACGACAGTTTCAAGGTGAAGGTCGTGCAGGTAACAACCAATCTTTTGCTGGCTTTTCTGATAATGCTTCTTTTCGAAGAAATCATGGTGCTAGAGGTTTTAGAGGAAGAGGCAGAGTTCCTCTCAACAATTATGGTGGAGGTCGTACTCAACTTACAAAGATTTGTACTCATTGTGGTAGATTTAATCACACTGTTGAAACTTGCTTTCACCTTCATGGTTTTCCACAAGCATATAAACCACGAAATCCTGCACCTCATGCTACCAATATTGTAGCACAAAACACATCTGATGTTTTTACTAGCAAATCGGATTCAGCTTCAAGTGTCACTCTTTCTGGTGATCAATATCAGCACATTCTGAGCCTACTCCAGAAGAATAATGTTACTTCCGCTTCTGCTCCTTCTACCAATCATGCCACAAATTTTACACAAGTATCCAATTTTAATACTGCATTGATGGATCAGCCAGGTAACATAGATTCATATTGGCTTTTAGACAGTGGTGCCACAGATCATGTGACATATTTGAGATCCCAATTTACACAATTGAGAAAGATCCAACCTATCTCTATTAACTTGCCTAATGGAGTCACAGTTCTTGCAGAATTTTCTGGAACTGTTCATGTTTCTCCTACTCTTGTTTTATTTGATGTTCTTTTTGTTCCCCAATTTAAGGTTAACCTCATTTCTGTTGCCAAACTATTAACTCATGTCCCTTGTTCTCTAATTTTTTGTGCTTCTCATTGCCTTATACAACACATCCATACCCACATGAAGATTGGTATTGCTGAGCAACGAAATGGGCTATATGTGATCATGGGAAAGAATATCAAGGAAGCTTGTCATATGCAGAGATATAGTAGCATGAAAGACACTCAAATTTGTAATATGCAGAAACATGATTCTGTTGTTTGGCATAGAAGACTTGGTCATATACCACATACTGTAATGAGACAGATGTCTCTTAGATCTCCTTTTATTTCGGGTGACTGTTTGCACCCTTGTGATACTTGTCACTTGGCAAAACAGAAACAATTGTCATTTCCTATTTCTGTATCGAATTCAATACATAGTTTTCAGTTGATTCATGTTGACATTTGGGGCCCTTTTGCTATTGCTTCCCTTGAAGGTTATAGGTATTTTTTGACCATAGTTGATGATTATTCAAAATTTACTTGGGTGATGTTAATGAAGGCTAAATCTGAAGCTAGTTCTCATATAAAGAATTTCGTGGCTTTTATTGAGACTCAGTTTCACACTACCATTACTGCTATTCGAAGTGACAATGGAAAGGAATTTCTCATGGCTGATTTTTATTCACAAAAGGGAATTGTTCATCAATGCAGTTGTGTGGAATGTCCCCAACAAAATGGTATGGTGGAGAGGAAACATCAACACATCCTCAGTGTGGCTAGAGCCCTCCTTTTTCAATCCAATTTGCCAATTTCCCTTTGGAGTTATGTTATCACACATGCTGTTCATTTAATCAATCGAACTTCCACTCCCATTTTAGCCCACAAAACACCTTATGAGGTTCTCCACAATCAACCTCCAATTCTTCTTCATTTGAAAGTGTTTGGTTGTCTTGCTTTTGCTTCCACCCTTCATGCCCATCGTTCAAAATTCTCTCCCAGGGCTCGCAAATCTGTTTATTTAGGTCATAAGGCTGGTGTTAAAGGTTCTGTCTTATATGACCTTTTGTCCAGAGAGATATTTTTATCAAGAAATGTTTTTTTTTATGAAGATCACTTCCCATTTCTTGATACCACATATAAGCCAGGACCTATTGCTCCTTCTGATACTGCAGTTGCTACCCTCCCTACACCTCAGCCATATCTTGACTTTGACCATTATTTTTTTATCCCTACAGCTCCCACCTCTCAACCTGCTGATACATCACAGTGTGCATTTGATCAACATACTTGCAATGATAATGTTCTATCCGCTCATGGAGACACTTCACCTACTGTTATTGAGGATCCTACACAACATGCTACAACTCATGATTTATCTCAGCCACCTCAACTTCGCAGATCCACCAGGATAAAGGCAACTCCTAAATATCTTGACCAATATCACTATAGCCCTATCATCAATCAGCATACCAATTTTTGTGAGAGTAAGTCATTTTCCATACCTTCCAAACATTCCATTTCTACTGTACTCTCTTATGTAAATTGTTCTCAATATTCACATTTCTGTCATAATATATCCACTAATGATGAACCTAGTTGTTACACTCAAGCTGTTAAATCAGTACATTGGAGGAAAGCAATGGAGGCAGAACTTCAAGCCTTGGAACAAAACAATACCTGGAATATTGTTGATCTCCCCTCTGATAAACAACCTATTCAATGTAAATGGGTTTACAAAATCAAATACAATTCAGATGGCTCCATTGAACGATACAAGGCAAGACTAGTTGCCAAGGGGTTCACTCAATTGGAGGGAGTTGATTTTTTTTGATACCTATAGTCCAGTGGCCAAATTAGCTTCTGTTCGTATTCTTCTATCAATTGCAGCTGCTAAAGGCTGGTTCATTCATCAATTAGATGTGAACAATGCCTTTTTACATGGGGACCTCCTTGAAGAAATTTACATGGTACCTCCACAAGGTTTATTTCTACCTAAACAGGGCCAAGTCTGTCATCTCCAAAAATCCATTTATGGATTAAGACAAGCTAGTCGCCAGTGGCATGCGAAGCTATATACTTTTCTTCTATCCATAGGATACATTCAGGCACATTCTGATCATTCTTTATTTCTCCTTCATCAGCATACTTCTTCTACTGCTTTACTGATTTATGTTGATGATATTCTCATTTGTGGCAATGACTTTATTGAGATTACAAGAGTCAAAAAGTTGCTTGATGACAGATTTCGTGTTAAAGATCTGGGAGAATTACGTTATTTTCTTGGATTAGAAATGGCTCGCTCTTCCAAAGGTATTATTTTGAATCAACGGAAATATGTGCTGGACATCATCAAGGATTCTGGTCTTCTTGATAGCAAATCTGTTTCTTCCCCAATGGAAGCTTGTGCCAAGCTTCAAAGTAATCAAGGGACCCTCATTTCTGATCCTTTTCCCTATCGAAGACTTGTTGGTCGCTTGTTATATCTCACCAATACTCACCCTGACATTTGCTTTGCTGTTCAAACTCTCAGTCAGTTCATCTCTGCTCCTACCAATATTCACATGGCTGCTGCAAAACGGGTTGTTCGTTATCTCAGACAAGCTCCTGGTACTGGTCTATTTTTTCCAGCAAAGAATGATCTTCGTGTGCAAGCTTTTGCAGATTCCGATTGGGCTACATGTCCAGAGAGTCGAAAATCCATTACTGGATTTTGTGTCTTCATTGGTTCTTCTTTGGTAACCTGGAGGACAAAGAAGCAATCTACCATCAGCCGTTCCTCAACTGAAGCGGAATATCGCGCCCTTGCAAGCCTCTCCTGCGAAATCCAGTGGCTTCAATACTTTTTTCAAGACCTTCATTTGCCATAGCCGTCACCAGCTTCTGTGTATTGTGATAACCAATCCGCCATACATCTTGCTCATAATCCCATGTTTCATGAGAGATCCAAACATATTGGAATAGATGCCATGTCACTCGCAACAAAATTCAATCTGGTCTCCTTCGACTTTTTCCCATTGGCACTTCTCATCAACTCGCTGACACATTTACCAAACCTTTGGGTCGTGCTGCTTTTACTGATGCTGTTTCCAAGCTGGGGATGTTTGATATACATCATCCAGCTTGTGGCGGGGGGG